GTACTGAAAGTATAAAATGAAATGTATAGACAACAAAACTGGAAAAATATTTGTTGATTTATTAATTTAGTCTCCATTGATTAAACATGGTTTTTTTTTGTTTTTTTTTATTATTATCAAAAACATTGGTGTTATAACAGAAAATGGCTTAATTCAGAAACTATTTAAGACCAAAATTGAATCAATATTTTTACTTTCATTATAAATTTTATGCACTTGGCTCTCGGCTAGGTGATCCCACACTACGTCTTTACTTTAGACTTATTATACCAGCACTCACTACACTTGTAAGATTTCATGACAGCCCTCCCCCCACAAATAACATATAATTAACCTTTTCACAAATTTATGCATTTAAGATACTTTGTCATCTTGCACACACTTTACCATGACTACATTTCTCAAAGTATGTTTGTTTCTACACTCACAAGCTTTTCTGCAAAGCATGATGCATGGGCTATGTTATATGTTTAAGGAATATCCAAATAATTATGAAAGAACAACGTGTATGTATTTATATACATAAAATACTAGTAATCAATATAAAATTTGATTTTTAAAACAAAATATTACTTTTGATATATTACACAAAAGTCTATTATGAATGTGTGTAATATTCATTACTCTCAAAGGATATGTAAACCTATCATTCCATACAACGCGTGGTACTTTTCCTAACATAATTACTCCTTCAACAGTGTTCTTCAGCTCTCCCCATGTTGCTTCAAAATCAACCTTCCTTGGCTTTAAAGACATCTCTCAATAAACCTATAAAAATATACAATTCAAAAAACACAAATGAAGTATAAAAATCATTAATCTGCATAAAGTCATTACTTGCAATTGATATTTTAAGTAATTACTTATTCACATTTACTGGTATATTAGATTAAACTTCTCACGTCTGCATCAGACTACTACAAGTAGTTTCTAGTAATGTTTGACCCACAAAGATGCTCTGCATATTTTAAAATCATAGGTTTAAATCACTTATAATGTCTTGTTAACCAATCAGCAATGTCAAATCATAGGAAACATCAGAATAAACAGGATCAAATTGTTTGGTCCATTGAGATCAATGCTTATCATCATAATAATGGAAATCAAGTAGCAACTCACCTACACATAAACTTTCACATTCACATGCCTGCAAGAACATAGGAAAAATCAAGATGCTAACAACACAACACATACATCATGCCAAACATTGAACAAGCTCAGAATTTTAACGTATATTTGTTTTTAGGAATGAGCCCATATCTAAGCTTTCATAGATTAATTTTAATATTTCTAAATTCAATTTCACATAACAATTGTTCCATTTCACCACTCAAACATCTGCACATTATAAGCCCTAACAATTTCAAAACTTGAATTGTCATCTCTAGTATTTTTCATTCCACAGCAAGTAAGATCAAACTTTTGAATATACTCAAATTTATTAAACCAAATATCACTATAAAAGCTTTAGTAACACATGAAAATTAATTTCATATACAATTGTTTTTCTTTAGTTTCAAAAAATAACATTAGTTAAATTATGTATAAATTTCACTATACTATTTGACAAAATAAAAAACCAAATATAAGCACATCTTAATTCCTAAAGAAATAATTAACAGTTTGTGAAATCAATAATTTCACCTTAATTTTTTCTTTTGTCAAAATGAAGTGAAAATAATCAATTTCAAAAACTAAATTTAATTTAGATATTCTATAAGATAATAGTGTATGTTCACTACATGTGGTACCACTCCAATAAAATTAATATTCAGATACCTATACAACATACATTCATTCCTTAATATATTTTTTCTCCTAAAATTATTAAATCTTTCATTGTAACATTTTCCAATACTCTCATGTGTAATAAATCTTATATAGTTATTATGAATTCCTTTGTAGTTTGTTAAATAAAATATGTGATACACCTCAATCTCACACAAGATATAAGAGAATTCAGTCAGCACTTTAACTGGAATATAGGATGCTTTAAAATTAAAATTTACAAGAACTGGTCATCTAGAAAACTATTGGGTGTAACAGCGGTGTTATTAAGTGTCTGGCAATATGCACACCCTTACCTGCATCACTGAAAAATTATGTCTTACCTATGGAATAACAATAACAAAGTTCAAATAGTTATTCTTTCTACTCAAGTCCTCCTCTGATGTTTATCTGAACAACACTCAGTAGCCCTACAAATATGAAGTGTAAAAAATAAATAAATTTTCAACAAAATTAAAGATATTTATTTTTATAAATATAATTCCTTGATTCTGGAAAAGCACATAATTTCTCTTAACTTAATTTTACCTATACGAGTCAAGGAATCATAGCCTATGCTTTACTACTAAGTACTATAATTAATCTAAAGCTATAGTATTATAATATAAGCAAGTTGATCATGATTTTGTCAAGTTAAGACTAATTTGTTTAAATACAGTTAACTTCCAAACCTATAAGAAGACTTACTATAATAGATATAGTTCTGGTACTTAATTAGTTAATACTATAATAATAGTACTTATAAGATATATATTACTAGTAGTTAATTAGTTAATACTATAATAATAGTACTTATAAGATATATATTACTAGTAACTTTGACAAAGTCATGCTGTCACGTAACTGAGTCTGAAGCAGGATAACCACAAAATACATTAAACGTTTGAAATAAATAAGAAAACTAAATACTTCATTATATTTTCTTTCAAAGTACTGTTGGTGCAGAATTTCAATATTATATAGTATTAGTAATAGTACTTGAAACACTCAAACTCAAACATTAGAATTTTTTTATGTTCCTATATTTTAAACTTAATAATAATAATATTTTAAAGTTAACAAACAAATACATTTTCTTGCATTTTTTTATATTATCTGTGCATTGTGGTCTGCCATATCACTATAGAAATTATAAGGTAATTATTTAATCTTAAGTTATTGAATACGATTTCACAAACCAGTATTCCGTTCTTCCTTACATTTATCAATACCAGTAACGTGTTATTATATAGCGTTAGGCAACTGTAACAAAATGAGATAAAAAAATCACAACTTCTGGTTCCCCCTGGTGATGACAATTTAAATGACACATAAATTATTTATAACCGTCTTCAAACATATAAATGTTACTTATTTTAAACCGCCTGATTTTGCTAATAAATATGAAGTCTATGGATAATAAACTAATAGTCTTCATATTATGTGTGTAGATACACAATTGAAAGAAAGGACGACTGAAACTGAGAAAATTAAAACCTTTCTTTCAGTGCTCTTAATGTAGTAAGCTAATGTGTGTTATTTTAAATTAAACTTATCTCGTTAGTATGAATATAGATTTCCGTGATACACCATATAAGTGTCAGTTTGTTAAGTTACTACGTTATATTTTGCATGTCACATTTTTATTTTCCAAACTGTTTCTTGTTTTGCGTTTAAAAAAGATACTTTTTGTTTTGTAATATGAATAATTGTATGCAGTTATGTGTTTAAAGTTTGGTCGAGTGGCAGCACAGTTGATCAATTTCCAAATTAATTTATCGTGAATGTAAGAATAACACTCAGACCTGTAAGCAGAATGTTTGAGAGGGGGTTATAATTTGTGAAATCAAAAGCCAACACATGTTGTGCGAAGCATAATCAGCATGCAATCCCCCAGATAACATGTAAAAAAATAGGTGCTATGAGATTAAATCTGGAAGCAATTTTGCATGAAATATAACTTAAACAATTGCATGCCTGTTCACATAAAACCCACAAACATCCAAAACGTTAAATATCATAAGCAGCTGCACTATAACTATAGAATTTTTTTTTACACCACAAAAATAGGGGGTTCAATAAAATCCCTCGACCCCCCCGCGTACGTGCGTGACACTAGATTTCGAAGAAATTATAAAGATTATTATATTAAATTCTAGAAAGAGAACATACAAAAGTTAACAAAATTTTAAGAAAGGTTCTTAAAACTGATAGTCTTTGTTCAAGAATTCTTTGTAAGTTACTATTCCAAAGTTGAGGTACTGTTAAGAATGCTTTATACTATTTTTGTAATGTGTTCTATCATTGGTAAGTTCTTTTAACTAATTTTAAATAATTCAACGTCTAGTCCGCGTAACGATAATTAATTTATTTCGTCTTTTAACGTTTTTATTAGTTCAAAACTGTGGTAACTTGTGGGCCACGTTTACAGTCACAATAATTTTGCTTCACTAATGTAAAAAAGCAAAACAAAACAAGCTTACTTGTACAAGTAAATCAATACGCGCGATAGATAAGCCAGATACAAATACTTCACTAAAGGCACACTGACTGATTCACTCTATTGGCTAGAAACAACTCTATAAATCTTCCGAACTATCTCGTATTTATAATCTGTCCTTGAATTTACTATAAAATTTTACGTCAAACCTCTTAGAATTTTTCAAGTGTTCATCATTACAATCGGCAGCTCCCTCTAGCAAACAAATTCTAATACAAAAATATAGTTTACAACACTGTTTTCTTTCAGCCTTAGAGTTAAAGTAAAAAGTAACACTTTAATATATTTTATTTCTGTTAAACAAGTTACTTAGCCGAATAAAATTAGAATGAAATAAATCAACCGTCTTAATATACCTGGAAGAAGTGAAATTTTAATTTCTGTTATACTATTACACTTTAATCATTTTCATATCTTATATATGTCAATAACATATTTATTATTTCTAAAAGACTCTATTTTAAAGCCTAGCACATAGAAATTTGGTGTCAAGAGTAAGACAAATTATGAGATTTGAGAACGTTATGGAGATCATTCAAAAATCTGTGAAGCTTCAGATTAGGACGGCGATAGAATGTGATAGAAATCATAAAGACGTAATAAATAAATAGTTAAACATTTTGACCAACAACTGGAAAAGAGTTCTGGAAGATTGTTATAAAAATGTTAAAATTGGACATCAAACTGAAAGAATGTGACACATAAATCATCTTACACTGAACTGAGAAGGTAACAAAAAATTCTAAGTCATTGAAAGAACACGACAACCAATTAATATTGATAACACCAGTCCACTAATCTGGATGGATTTTTAAATAGATTTATTAGTTTTTATCTTCATTACGTACTTATGAATGCACAATATCTTAAAATTACTTTTGTCAAGTTATTTCTTTCTTCAAATACTAGTGTTACGACAGCGGAGGTCACGTGACGTTAGTAACATGTCATATTCTCGAAGCTTCGTGAATCCTCGGGAGGTTACTAGATTTCGATATTCTTTTATATATAAGACGGTCAAGACGTGACGGCAACAATGTAATGAGTAATTGAACTGCGGACAGAGAGAGAGAGTATTGTTGAGTCGAGCACGTGAGACATTCGTTGTGAATTATAGCGTTTGTTATAGCGTGACTGTGGAAATTAAGTATATTGCAAAGTTGTATTTAGAAAGTATAAACCAGTTTCAATTAAGAAAAGACTTGTATACCTAAAGTTTCAATTAAGAAAAGACTTGTATACCTAAAGTTTCTTCGAAAAGAAATTATACGGAAAATTAACTAACGAACAGAGACGTAACGCTAGTTTCTCAGTTTTTCCGCTTATTGTCACTTTTATACTTGCTACAGCACAGAGCTTGTCTTCTACATAACTAATATACAAACCATACAAGCTTCTACTAGGCTACTGGTTGTGAATCAACAAGTGATAAAATGAAAACTTGTTATGATATAAGTGCTGAGGAGATTGGGTTTCATCATGGTGACGTGGTGTGGCTGTATAGTCCTCGCTGCAAGAGCGAACAAACATCTGAAATTAAGTAAATGTTGGAAAGAACTCCATGCTTAACTCAAAAATCAATGATGTGGCTTGTAGAATCCAGAGGAACAGGTGGTCCAAGACAAAGATATTTCACTGTGATCATCTTTGGTAAAAGAATGCCCAACTAGTTAGCTTCAGAGATGACTTCACCAGTGGTAAGCTCAACTTGCTGAATATCACGAGGTTCCTGTCTATACCACTGTCAAAAATATCTCTTAGTGGCAATACACCAAGTGTGGATAAAAGGGAAAAGTCCCCTCACATCTTTATACCATAAGCCAGAAGAAGAAACCCACTATAAAGATTTGCTGTCCAGACAGTTTAAAGACAGTAAATAACTACAAAAGAAAATGTTGCTTTATTAATTCATTAACTACAACAACAACAAAAAAAAACAAACAAAAAAAAACGGACCGTTGATGCATTATAAGAGTGACGATCAAATTTAACTATTCGGTCAGACAAAAGTTAATGGTGAGTGCTGTTCGCTTGCTTTCTTCTCTCTAGTCATTCAGTTCAAAATTAGAGACATTTAGCAGAGACAACTTTTGTGTAGTTTTGCGCGAATATCCAAAACAAAAACACAGGAATTGAATAAGAGAAGCTAAATCATTTTAGGGTATTATTAGGATTGAAAATTCGATTCTATAGGATGACACAAACTGTAAAAATAGTCGAATATCTTACATGATCTCTAGAAATGTTAAGATATCTAGGTTTTGTGAATAAAATTCCCATAATACTGTACAGTTTAATTTCATTATAGGATATATTAGGCATTTGTGTGAGAGTTCTTTTAGACAGTACTAATTAATCTTGTTAAAAAATGTGTCCTATAAGATTATTGTATTTTAATTGAATGTAGGACATTTTATATATGCCTGCCTATGACATTTCCGTAAGAGTCAACAAAAATTATGACCCACAAAGTGAAAATAGTTTAGAAAACGAATAATAGAATGCAACAGTAAATACTAAAAATAAATGGTCTATTGCAAATAATAGTCAATGATTTGGCATATATTTACGGGTCATAGCTTGCAAAAATTAAAACAGGGCCTAACATAAAAACCGATAACCTATTATTTGTAGAAAATACGTTGAAAAACGTCAACACGTAGTATGTGACGAAATTTTAAAAAGTATTATAAGAAGAAGAATGTTTAAACCTCATAACCATCGTATAAGTAACTCAGGGACGATACCATTCACAAAATGAATTGTGATAAATAAAAACTAATATTCAGAATTAACAGAAAAGAAGACTGCTTTAAAGTTGATTTATTAATACGTAAGCACTGTGTAGAATAATAAAGATAAACTGGAAAAACAATAACGCACGATCAGGGTGGTAAATGACATTAGACCCATTAAATGCACTAGATTGAAGCTGTTTTTTTGTAGGCAAGGAATAATGGACGAAACATTGATCCGATTTATAAGTCTGATTGTTCACTGAAATCTACAGTTCGTATATTTAGTTATTGTTTTCTTCGCGTAATTTTTTTGAAATACTAACTCATGATTTAAGAGTGTCACAATAATTTTAAACTAATAGATACTGGAGGGATGTAAACTGATACATTTGTTAGGCAGGCGGTAGCACTGACTATATAAAGATGGCTCCGATTGTTCATCGAAATGGTATTTTAAATATCTCCTCAATATTTCATCAGAACCTTACAATATTATACAGTGTTTCCTTGTATAATAATATCTATGTAATGACTGAGTCACAAGTTCTAGAAATGTTTGTAAATATCATAATAAAAAGTTTGAATTTCTTCTGCTTCTTATTTATTACATGATAACTTAAAAACCGAAACAATGGTGTAAACCAATTTCACTGAGGTGACGTAGTTTCAAACAAAATATATGCTTTTATAAGTGTGATTAATAACTAGAAGTAATTAAGAAAATCATAATTCTAATGTAAACGATATTATCATTACCCCTTGAAATTAGCTTACTTACAGAAATTTGGGGTTTATTTAAAAAGGTTAAGTACAGGGTGAAACAGGAATTACCAGCTAATAATAGATAAACAATAAATATTACAGTTGGAACCTCATTGTATTTAGAAGTTGGTTATAAGTACAATCTCGCTATGTCTATTGAAACATCACATTAAGAAACAAGCAAACAAGTAAAGAAAAAGAAATAACATACTGTATAGCAATTTTTATAATTATTCAATCACAATTGAGTTTAATGTATCTCATTATTGT